TAAAATCCATATCTATGTATATACTAAAAAAATGGCGGCAGACTATTCCAATATAGAGATATTATTCTAGTATTTTGTATCTGAATACTAATATTATAAATACGATAATATTTATTAATAACGAATTTTAGTATAGAAATCATTTGAACATTGAGGAAAGACAGGCTAATATGCGCTTATAATCATTGTATATCATTTTTCCATTTAGCGGTATCTAAGAATTTAAAAAGTCTTACTAATATTATAAACGCAAAAGTTTATGAGTATGGAAGGATGGATGGATTGATGTTTGTTTCTCTTTCACTCATAAACTATAGGTTTTAATGTAAGTTTTCAATAATATATAGCTTATATATCAGAATAACACATAGGCTATAAACACGCGGACGAATCTGCAGGCACAGATTGTAAATCAATACAGTAAACCTTACTTTGCTTAAATTGAAACCTTGACATGGTATTGTATAACGACACTGATATAATATTTTCTAAGACATCTATTGAGCCGATTCCATTGTAAGTCCTATTTATTCTGCACCAATGAAAGATAAAAATGTTTACAGTTATATCTAATCTCGAGTGTTTCACTGCTGTTCTATAATAACAGTGATAAAATCAAGAGAATCGACTCGAAAATCCTATTCATTTTTCTCAGTTTTTTTAATGTTTTTTTTTTTATAGCATATAAGGCAAAGCAACTAGCAGCACGCCTGATCGTAAGAGAGCACGTAAGATCGTAAGTAATTATCGTCCATGAACACCAATAACTATAAGAAGTTACCGATAAGTTGCCGAACTTTTATTTAACAAATAATAAATAAATAATTCTGAACAATTAACATAGCGCCATCTAGTCCCAAGGTAAGCAGAGCTTGTACTATGGGTACTATACAACTGATATAAATACATAGACACATTTTTTTTTACATAATCAATTATTTATACATAATATACTTTGTAAACACTCAGACCCATACAAACAATCATACTTATGAATAAAAATGTTTGCATCGTGCAAGGCATCGAACCAGCTACCACAGGAAGTAAAGCAGTGTTCTAAACCGCTAGACTACCGAGGCCGCCAATCACAATGCTACCTGCTACTGCGCACGTGTCGATTACCATCAAGACAGCCAGTTCACATATTCACTACCCGGTTTGCTCCCACTTATCGAGCTGTATCGATGCTTTCGGAGCGACCAGAAGTTCATATTTTTCACAGTAGCATTAATTGTTTTTTGAATGTTGTTTGTTGTTTTCTGTCATTACGTTACTTGTTATTATGTTATATTATTGCTCACTACACGCTTTGAATTAGCTGTAAGTGTTGTGAGTGGTGATACCGTATTGGCTTTGTACCATTGCTTCTGATTCCAAAATGTGGTTGTGAATAAATTTTCGGGCACACTATGAGTCTTTGGTCTCGATTTCGCTACACAAGAGGTGATTTTAGAACCGATCTAAGGCTCTTTCCACCAATGATACGGTTTAACCCCCGAAGGATGGTTGAAGCCTGCTAATTCGAACCCTAAAAAAGAGAAATTTAAAAAAATATTCTGACCTGTTGCCGTAGGTACATAATAATAGTAAATGTTGGGCATGTAGCGAAAATTCTTTTGATAAAATATTCATTGTATAAATTCGACCTTTTACCATTTTAAGTATCTACCTACGTGTAAAGATAATGTTTGTTTACTTTTATGTTTACCTATTTTCAACATATTATAATAATTATATTATTTATTAATAATACTGAAAACATTATGAATTTTATAATAAAGAAATATAAATATATAAGTGTGTTTATCTGTGCCTCGTTATTACTCTTTCACGCCTAAACTGTTCAACGAATCATAATAAAATTTGATATAAAGATATCATAAATATGGACATTTTTAACACAGAGGATAAACGAGCATGCGGCTCACCTGATGGTAAGTGATTACCGCCGCCCTTGAGCACCCGCAACACTAGGGGAAATGCAAGTACGTTGTCGGCCTTTTAAAAAGGAATAAGCTCTTTTCATTTCATCTTAATTCAAACAAACAATGAAATCTTAAATATGTTATAATACAAAATCTTCTTCTTACTTATTTCTATCATCAAACAGCTTGTTGATAAGCTGTTTCAGGTCGAGGGTAAGATAAAGTTTGAAGGTATGACATCTTACTCCTCTAGTAAGAATTATTTACATAAACAAATGTAAGTTAAATGAAACCTCAATTTTCTTCACATTTCGCGTATAAAATTAAACAAAAACATGCGTATTAAATACATAGAATTGCATACCTTTTATATAAAAGCAAACCTCGCATACTCCTCTTTGAGAGGGATATTCCCCTTAATTATGCGCCTAACACAACACAATTATGTACTGAGGTTTGACCTTGGAAATAGAATTTCAGTGTAGAATTACCGTTACGTTTTCATCCACCTTAAAAAATAATATAACCAAGTATTTAAACTGATATCAAGAGAAGCATTGCCCGGTTTTGCACGGAACGTTCATTCACGTACAATAAGTAGCGTGCGCTATTTAGCGGGGGAAAGCCTGCGCGCATATTCCCGAGTGATTGTGTTTATCTATTTTTTGTGTTCACTCTTTCACGCGTGATTGATGAATATCTTGATTTATCTTCCACAGATTTTAGTTTTCAAATACACGTATAAGATTTATAAATAAATCTGTAATTATGTTTTTGCTCAATAGTCAGATGTCCGCCATTTTGATATAATGATAATTATTTATTTCATAAGGGAGCTACAGCACGCTTGATTGTAGGACGCGGGAGTGCGCGGCTGGCGGTCTCGTTCTCTTTGTCTATTATACATACTCTCTTATTTTTTAAGCAGCTATTAATTTGTATTGTGTGTGTGTGTGTCTTTGTTGGTGGTGTAGCAGCTCAGCATACCGCCGTACTTTCGAATTAATCGTGGATTTGATTCCTCGCACAGTACGGACATTTTGTATTCATGTGTGTTTTCTATTAATATTATGTACGTGTGTATAAAAAAAAACTGTATACTATATATATATATATATGTACCATAACACAAGCCTTGCTTAGCATGGAACTAAATGGCGCTGTATGAATTGCCTTCAGATTAAAAAAATACAATATATTTGTATATATAAACATTAGAAGATATAAACCAGTCTATATCTTCTAACAGTACAGATATTTGTAGTAGTAAAAAATATTTGCCCAGTCAGAAACATGAAAGTGAAATAACAATAAACATAGAGTAATAGTGTTATAGTAGATACACACGCAATACCTGTTGCGTAAATTTATATTCAGGTGCATGACAAGTATTACGGGGATATCGTACACTAATTGGGTATTATCTATAATGTAACTACATATTAAGATTATGGTATCTAATTATTGAATATGGGCCAAGGTTTAGTTTTTATATAATCCAGTACCCTGACGACCGAGTTTCAACCTAAAGAACGAGCTTCGCATTATTTTTAGTCGTATCTATTCAGTTACTTATATAGATAGATAAACCAAACAAAACAACTAATGTGTATAAATATAGTAAATAATCTAATGATAATCTACTCTAATATTATAAATATGTATGTCTATTATAGGTACAAATATACATCAGTCTATATTATTTTTACTCCATCTATATGAAGTGCATGATCCTTTTTTTCATTATATTTTTTTATGGAATTTGAATGGCAAGCAAGTTGAGAGTAAACAGCATTAGCATAAACAGCTGTACAATGTGACAGCCGTGATACCATTCAGTCGTTACCATTCCTGAAGACTGTTCCTGCCATGCCTCTTATTCTGTAATTCCATTGCCTTCTGCCAATCGTTTCAATCGTAATAGATCTTACAAAGTAAGCTGCTTGGCGGCTGTAATTGGTGATACTATGTAATATTATGTTATCTGTGGTGACACCAAGGCAGGCTATGCAGATGACTTTTTGTAAAGCTGGCTCGGTAAATACTGACCAGATCGTCATACTGGCCATATACGGAATATATAATATAAAAAACATTTGGAGTTCTTCTTCACTCAAATGTTAAGTATGTTTAAAATTTCGTGATGAAAAAATCATCATGAAGAATAAACCCGTTAAGGCGTGAAATAGTAAACAATCAAACTAAGTATTTATTACATATTATACTGATTGTCTCGGTAACTTTTATAAAGATTTATAATTTCTCTAGTTTTGTAGAAATTGAAATTTCTCACTGATACTTTAATTTTTGCTTAACTACTAAAGTAGATGAATATCCAATTCCATTAACGCAAATGCAATATGATATTCCATGAAAATTTTATCGTAATTCCTTCACGTATGAAACATTAACACACTCAGTTTTTGCCTCTTCTTCGCGAGTTTACAGTTTACAATTACACATATGACTGCTTCGGTGGTCTAGCGGTTTTGCATACAACCTTAACTTCGCGATGGTCGCGGGTTTGATTGCTCCCACAGTACAAACATTTGTATACCTATATGAGTATGACTGTTTGTATCGCTCTGAGTGTTTTATATATATTATGAATGTATTTTCAAAAAAATCGTATCTATGTATTTATATCGGTTGTTTAGTACCCATAATACAAACTCTGCTTAGCTTGGACCTAGATAGCGTATGTGTGAATTGTCTTTGGATATTATATTCTTTACATATTGTTGCCGCAACCTCTTTTGATACTTTTATTATTTTTAAATCTATATTTTTAGAACAGTTCTTTTTATACGTCATGTTTTTTGATACATTTCAATTATTCTATCATTGTCTTTCATATAGTTCGCAATTGCACATTATATATTATTATTCCAAACTACGTGTTTTCATCATTTAGACACCCATACAGTCCACCGATTCGTTATATTTTGGTCCTTTTCGCTGCCGTAAGGTAAAATTTACCGACCTAAATTATTTTCCAAATTTTTCATTTCATATTGCATTACGTTTTTTGTCATCTGTCATTTTCATTTTTCTTCATATTTTTCATCGTTTAACATGGTGGAGACACGTAGCAAAAGCAAATCAGTTGCGAACTTAACGGTTGTGGAAGTCGAACGATCGCATCGCGATCGCACCGACCGATCGCGCCGCGACCGAGCGGCTTCAACAACCGCAATTGAGGACGTATCGGCATCATCAGCTAGAATAGTCACACAAACGGCGGACGCCTCCACCTCGGTACCAGCGTCATCTCGCTGTACCAAGCGTCCTACTGACACCACTAGCTCACATCATAGAGTCGAAGCCCATACGTCATCAACTAATAAGACACATAGCTGTTGCAGCAAAGAGCGCTCGCAGTCCTCGCGGTCGGCCGCGACTGTCCGCGCCCAGAAGCTCGCCATCGAAGCGGAACTCCTGCGAAGCAGAGTGGCACGTCAACGTGAACTCTCGCGTCAACAGGCGGAACGCGAGCAACTAGCTCGTTTGGAGTTCGAGGCTGAGCAGAAAGAGTTGGAAGCTAAACTCGCCGCACTGGATGCCAAAGATAAGTCTGCGCATTCACATAGTTCTCGTCATTCCATTCGCGATACCGAAATACGTACAGCGACATGGGTTTCACAGCAAAATGCGAACATGACCATGGCACATGTGAACATACCCGGGAATGCACCGACTGTCACCTTGGACGATAACCAAGGACCTATATTACAGCCGGCCGCCCTTCCCACCACGGTCTCGTCACATATACCACATGTCAACCACGCTAACCAATCGAAACCTGCACGTACCATTGGCGACAACTACACAACCGTAGCCAGACTCCCATCAACTGAGCACCCACCAGCGGACCCCATAGCCCAACTTACCCACGCAATCAACAGTCTGTCTAACCATCCTAAAAAGCCCGATCTCGTCCCCTTCTCAGGTGACGTTAATCAATGGATGGCCTTTAAAAGTTGTTACGAAAGAACTAAACTAAATTTTTCCGCAACAGAGAACCTAACACGTTTAAACAACGCCATTCGGGGACCGGCGTACCAGGCCGTGGCGTCACTCCTGTGGACCTCTTGCGACCCCCAGGCCGTTATGAGCACATTGGAGCAGACTTATGCCCGACCAGAAATTCTCGTCGCCCGTGAGGTCGCAGAGCTACGCAACACCCCAAAGTTAAGTTCCCCTGAAGACTTAAATTCACTTGCAAATAGATTGCGTAATTTCGTAGCTACTTTAAAATTAGTAAACCAGTACGACTATCTATATTCACCCGAGCTTTTTCGTATAATTTTACTTAAATTAACCGAACACACTAGAGCTCGTTTTACGGATTTTGCTGCAACTCACGTAAGTGAGCAACAATGTGTAGCAAAAATAGAGTTGCTGTCACAATTTTTATTAGTAGAAGCAGACAAGCAACTCCGTTACAACTTTGTACAAGACTATACTATCAAGCCGCACACCATACATTCTAGGGTCCATAGTAACATAAAAAAGGAAACAATACATGTTACGGCTTCTAATAGTAAGACATCAGAATGTACATACTGTAAACAGGGTTGCCACAGTATAAAGTCTTGTAAGATATTTTTGTCTCTTACAGTAGATAACAGATGGCGTTGGGTTCGAGACAACAAAGTCTGCTATCGCTGTCTCAAATCGAATCCTCATAAATGGAACAATTGTCGAGCTAAATGTTGCGGAGTCAATGGATGTTCACGTCGTCACAACTCTCTTCTACATGGCACGCCGCCCGACGATATTAAGACTAGTCCGACATCTAACATCCATTGCACTCAAATACCACTCGACATTACAACCGTTCCTACAGATATAGCCAACGAACCCATTAAAGTCGCTAATACGTCCGACATCTTAATTAACACAACAGGTGCACCTTCACGTCCACGCGGATTATTGAAAGTATTACCTGTCATTCTCGAAGGTCCTGACGGCGAATACGAAACTACAGCGCTGCTAGATGAAGGTAGTACGGCAACGCTAATTGATAATAAGGTGGCAATGCGCATCGGCGCCAAGCCCGCCTGTCAAGAGCGTCTTCGTATCGAAGGTGTAAACGGTATGTCAAAAGATGTTGACGTTGGTTACGTAAACTTCTATATCCGAGGACGTAACCTATCCGACCGCTACTTAGTAGAGCACGCACGTGCTATCAATCCGCTAAGCTTGCGTGTTCGAAGCCAAAACATAACCGACTACATGGACTACCAGCACCTGTCAGACCTATCTGAGGAACTTTCATGCGCGAATGCCACACCTAGTGTTCTCATTGGAGCCCCTGACTGGCATCTATCCCTGAGCCGCGAGGTAAGATGCGGAAAAAGGAATGAACCCGTCGCCTCGAGAACATTACTAGGTTGGGTACTCCACGGTGCCATGTCATCATCATCCAAACCGCTCGATTTCGTTAATTATGTTTGTGATGATTTGGACAACCTTATAAAACGACAGTATGAGATCGACTCCTTGGGTATAACAAAAAACTTACCACTCGTTAGTGACGACGACAAGCGAGCGATAGACACTATCGAAAATTCTGCTCGCCAGCTTGAAGATAATCACTACGAAGTTGGATTGCCCTGGAAAAAGGTCCTACCAACTCTCATACCTGATAGTTACCCACAGGCACTATCCCGTCTCAGAGCTCTTGAAAGACAAATGTCCAAAGACGAGTCATTTGCGGCAGCATATCACAATTTTATTAATGATATCGTCCGTAAAGGTTATGCCGAAGAGTGTGATCCACAGACGTATTATAAACGACGGCCACAGAATATTTCCTGTACTAATCCGAATGGTACAATCCGTTGGTATCTGCCAACCTTCGGGGTATTTCACCCACAGAAGAAAAAGTTACGAGTGGTTCACGACGCGGCGGCTACCTCAAAAAGCGTAAGCTTCAACAGCTTGCTATTACAGGGCCCTGATTTATTGTGCTCTTTGTTAGATATCCTATTTCGCTTCAGAGAGGGCGCTGTGGCATTAAATGCTGACATTAAAGAAATGTTTCCGCAAATAAAAATTGCTGAAAAGGATAGGGATGCTCAACGCTTTCTTTGGCGTAATAAAGATGGCACAATTATGGAGTACCGTATGAAAGCTATGATTTTCGGTGCTGTATGTAGTCCATTTATTGCGCTCTATATTAAAAACAAAAACGCAAAGAAAGCAGAGGCCACCTATCCCCTCGCATATAAAGCAATAGTGGAAGATCATTATATGGATGACTACCTCGGAAGCCACTCTAATGTCACTGAAGCAGCACAGATAGCGTCCGATATAATCACTGTACATAAAACATGCGGTTTTGAAATGCGGGGTTGGATATCAAACAACTCACAAGCATTGTCTCTCGTCCCCAAAAACCTCAGAAGCGAATCGAATTCCGACGTTTACTTACCACCAAACAACGACGTTGGTATTCTAGGCGTTAAATGGAACCCTCTCCATGACTCGCTCACCTTTCGTACAGGACACCAATTACCTGACGTTCTAACCAAACGTAGCTTACTATCCAATATTATGAAGGTGTATGACCCACTTGGCCTATTAATGCCTATCATCATCTCGGGTCGTATCCTATTTCAGAAACTGTGGCGAGCAGGTATTGACTGGGATACCCCCATACCTCACAAATTTATCGTTGAATGTGAAGACTGGTACACTAAATTACAGGGTACTGCCAATATCAAAATCGCACGTTGGTATATGTGTAAGTCAGATCCTATCGACGTTCAGCTGCATGTCGTAGCTGACGGCGGCGAACAGGCTTACGCCTGTGTCGCATATTGGCGTTTTACCTACAACGACGGTTCAATTTCCACAGCGCTTATAGGTAGTAAAGCACGTGTCGCACCTTTAAAACCGCTCTCCATACCTCGCTTGGAGTTGCAGGCAGCACTCATTGCTTCGCGATTCGCACAAACCATTCTACGCGCGCATCGTTTTAACCCCTCCACGATAACTTACTGGACGGACTCGACCACTGTACTTAAATGGATCCGCAGTGACGCTCGGACATTTAAACCTTTTGTCGCCCACAGGTTGGGAGAGATACTGGAGACCACAAATCCGTGCAATTGGAGGTGGATTCCTACCTCTCTCAACGTGGCCGATGATGCCACTAAACCCAAAAATATAGACTTATCTCTATCTCACAGATGGTTTACCGGTCCACCATTCCTTTTAGAACCACCACTTCTTTGGCCGACTGAGAATGAAAGCGACGCAGAGGAGATTTCACCAGACCCCGAGCTAAAGTCGGAACTTGTGATGTTGCTCTCCTGCGTCCAATCACCTGATCCCCCAGTACCTATTGCAATTCGATTCAGTTCGTGGCCTCGTTTACTACGTGCTACCGCTCGCGTTCTCCAAGGTGCACGTCTGTTTCGGCTTAAACTATCTCGGCCAATTAACATAAATTCTAAATTGTTTCTAGATGACACCACATCTCCCTCACAACTTCGTGTTCGGGACGTCATAGAAGCCGAGAAGATGCTATTCCGTCGAGCTCAAATAGACAGCTTCCCCGGAGAGCTGAAAGCCATCCAAACTACGCAGCCCCTGCCCAGAAACAGTCGCATTGCTACACTTGCACCGGTACTAGACGAAGATGGATTATTACGAATAGATTCTCGTATAAAACGTGCCCCAGACGTGTGTGAGAATGCGAAATCACCTATCATTCTGGATGGCCGCCACCATATCGCACGGCTACTGATTCTCCATCATCACATACAGTCAGCACATGCATTCAATGAGCTCATCTTAAACGAAATAAGACAAAGATTTTGGATACTAAGAGCGCGAAATACTATCCGCAGCGTAGTACACACATGTATGCAGTGTCGCAGATGGAAAGGCAAGGTAATCAAGCCACAGACTGGCGACTTACCGCTAGAACGAGTTGACCACAGCAAAAGACCATTTACACATGTAGGGCTCGATTACTTTGGCCCTATTGTAGTTACCGTACATCGTCGCAACGAAAAACGGTATGTCGCCCTTTATACATGCCTAGTCACAAGAGCGTTACATCTCGAAGTAGTACCTTCGCTTTCAGCCGACGCCGCCATAATGAGCCTGAGGCGTTTCATAGCTCGTCGAGGATCCCCTTGTACCATATACTCGGACAATGGTACGAATTTTGTTGGTGCTTTCCGTGAGTTACGATGCCTTTATGACGACCCGGTGGTAGAGTACGCAACCAACCACAAAATTGAGTGGCATTTCATCCCACCTGCGTCGCCATTCATGGGCGGAGCCTGGGAGAGACTTGTGCGAACCGTCAAAACAGCCTTGAGATCCTGTCTGAGCAGAAAAACAATAAAGGAGGAAACATTAGTCACACTCCTACTCGAAGCGGAAGCCATCATCAACGCGAGGCCACTCACGTATATTTCGCCATCGCCACACGCACCCGAGGCATTAACGCCATTCCACTTCATCCTGGGCACTTCATCAACAACACCATGGACAAGTTCGCTAACAGACGCCGACTTAGTACGCAGATGCGATTGGAGGAGGGTACTGCGTCTGGCTGATCACTTCTGGGCACGGTGGCTGCGCGAATATTTACCGACGCTCCGGTCAAGAGGACCCCACAGAGGGACGGCAACCGTAGCTGAGGGTGATGTGGTGCTCATCGCCGACTCTTCCCTACCTCGTGGCCTCTGGCCCCTAGGTAGAATAGTCAAGGTCTATCCAGGCCCGGACGGAGTGGTCCGCGTGGCGGACGTCCTTACTAAAGGCGGTACGTTACGCAGACCAGTCCGAAAATTAATTTTAATGCAAGAAGAGCCGCAGTCGGTCGCCACCAGTAGTTAGTGTTCCACTGGGGGCCCGGTATGTTGGCGACCGGCCGCCGCAACCTCTTTTGATACTTTTATTATTTTTAAATCTATATTTTTAGAACAGTTCTTTTTATACGTCATGTTTTTTGATACATTTCAATTATTCTATCATTGTCTTTCATATAGTTCGCAATTGTACATATTATTATTATTCCAAACTACGTGTTTTCATCATTTAGACACCCATACAGTCCACCGATCCGTTATACATATAATAAAATCGTAACAAAGATGAAAACTAAAAACGACCAAATTTAAATAAAAAAATGAATGCTTGGACTTTTTCTTATTACTAACACCCACAGACAAGTTTGGAATTAGACATCAAAACTTCAACAATGCGCCTTCTGCGTGAATTAGAACATTTCGTCAGGTATAAATTGAGAAGCTTTTGTCCCATAATTTGAATCTGAGAGATGTAAAAGAAAACAACGAAAATTTATGTAATATTATAGACATAATTTGATTGTACTATATTTTATTACCATAATTGAGTTCCCAACATTTAGACAGTATTGCAATCGTTATGATTACATTTAAACTGAAGTACAGCGGGTTGATGTTAAACTGTAGGTAGAAATATTCTCTGAACACTGGGCAATACTACTACTTACTACAGATTACATATGATACCTATATATCATTAGAGTATAATGTATATATTTTTTTGGTTCTGTTTATCCATAAAATTAAAGGCAAAGGGAACTGTGCCCATACAGCCTTGTCGACATGTTTTGATATTCTTTATTTTCTTAGTTTATTTTATGTCTTGAATTGTTGCCACCATCCCTTATATGAAAGGAATGGTGGTTGCAACAAAATGTAGGTGCCTCCCTTAAAAAATACCTAAAAAAAGGTATATTTAAATATATCTTCTACATCTAGCTCTCTATACAGCTTTGGTTATTCCACTATACTATGTGTTGTAACTTTATGTAGATAAATTTCGATTCTTCGTTGAATAGAATATTTGATTATTGTCAGTTCTTCTAATTTGAAACTTTTTTCCAGACTTATTTCAATGTAAAGTACGGAATTATTTATAGAAAATATTTTATGTCTGATTTATGAATTTTATTTTTATCATTTATATATTTTTACACCGAATTATATCTATCGAAATGATGTTTAGTTTTATTTAAAACTTTTTCCAACACCATTTAATAGTCAACTAAGTAAGTATTTATATTCTGAAAAAGTAATTTTGATCTGATTTATGAATCTTATATTTATACAGTTCTGAAAGATATCTATTGAAATGATATTTACAAAGTTGCAGCGAACAGTCCACGGGGACAATATGTATCGTAACAGAAAGGTTGCGTAGTTCGCAAGAACTTTGCAGATGAGTCGACGTCAAGTTTTTACGATATTATAAACTACTTAAGCGAGTTTCAAAGTCCTGCTATAAGGTCTTTGGAGCCCTTGGCCATTGGAAGTTCGAAATTCCTAAATATCTTGCTCTGTCCCAGGGGCTTTACCTGGATAGCGTCATTTATTTCCTGTTAGTGAGAATATCCAAAAATGCTAATGCGTAAGCATTAACTAAACATAGACATAAAATAAGAAAATCTATTTTGTAGAGATAATAGCTTTGACTGTATGTTGATAATTGCCATGAAATCGTTTGTAGATACACGTATGTCTATATATAACAACTTATCTTATTATCAACAGAAGCACAGTACTTAGAGATGCATTAAAGTAAAAGTTTGCTCAAGGTTGTCAAAAATATTTATTACGATGACCCGCCTCGAATCCGTATGGGTGCCATTATTATCAAGATCTCCAATTACTTTAATGAATAAAGTAAATAATGCAGATTTGCGTACGAGTATGAACTTCTAAAATTGGTTAAGTAAATATTTTTTTACTTTTTTAATTATATTTTTATTTTATAAAAATAAATCTATGCTCTTTGTAACATGAGTTAAATCAGTCTAAATTTTTCTACAACCAATTTGTAGTATCTCATAAAACGATTAAAAGACGCTTATTTTTTTTTTCAACTGATTATAGAAGAGAGTTTCTATACTACGATATTTCAGTAAAAGAAAATAAACAATAACTACACGATAGTACAACTGCGCGTAAATTTGAGTTATGGGTAAACAGACGCCATTTTTTGCTATAAACATTATACTGGTCTATTTTTGTGAAGACAATAGAAGTTTAAAATAAGTTTATGGCATACTATAGGGCTTCAGTTCACAGCCACGATGATCGTGAATAATGCTAGAAGGTCATGATGTCTATGCTGATAATATAGGTATCATACAATAATATTGTGTGACCGAACTTCGCCCAACGTTTTATACACATGTTTGACCTAGCTGTACTTTGTACAAAATTGTCTGACTAAGACTTACAAATTCAAGTTGAAAGCAATGTCTCTGCCTTATTAGGATTTACAAACTGTGTAACATATATATATATGCCACCATAAGTTGTTATTCCGAAGGACTGGCAACTTTTAAGTGATACCACGATACCGTTATATATATAGACGATATCCATCAGTCCATCCATCATCCATCCGTCGGGCCCTTTGTTTATTTGTTAATCCAGTTCCGTATGTTAGGGTTCACATCGATATTGTCGAAAAATCTGATATTTTATATTAAAAGGAGGTAGTTTCATTATTACTCGGTATCGTTAAACTAGTTGCATATAACACCCACTCATATCTTCTCTGTATAAACGGGAGGGTTTTTGTAGGCCGCGGCATTCGGTCTTTGAGCACAGGATGTGCTGGTTGTATTTTAATTGCTGAAGTGAATTGTGTTAGAGACATAGTTAAATTAATGTTATATAGTTGTTATTTTATTATAATACATACATTTACTAGTACATAGAGTTGATATATCTAACACGTAAAAAAACTATCTGTATTTTATATACGAGTAGCATATACCGTTTTGCCGTGAGACATGTACATGTATACAAGTATACATAAAATGCAACATTAGCGAAATACATAATTTCATCAAAAACATTACAAACAATCCTCTGTGTATTACTACATTATTTTATTTACATGATTTTCTAAATTGTAGTATCATAATTAAATTGTTTTTTGTAACCATAAAATTCTATGGTTTTCCTTCTATTTTTCTGAATTCTGATTATTATAATTCGCACATTTAAATTGAAACAAGCAAACTTGCAGAAATTCACTAGGTTATTGGGAAACTTTAATAGGAAAATTTCAAAGGAGATTTAGTATTATACGTTTTCAACGAAGCGAATAACTGAGGATAAGTTATCAGTTGTCGATAAAATAAATTATCTTTTATTGCTCGTTCATTTAATGTTCACTTAAAGTTTAAAACTTTAGCAACCACTGGATCTTGGAATAAATTATACTCCAGGGCATTAGAGCTTTAATATATTCCAAATTTATTTACCTCTTCTCTGTTTTTTCCTAACTATTATAATTTTTCGGAATATCAGCGTACAAGGGGTCACATGACTACGCGGTGTCTATGTGTTTATTATGTTCTTTTACGTTACATTACATTTATGTTTCCATCAGGTGGCAAAAGTCTTACTGTATACTCCAAATCTTTACGTATTGGTAAAAATTTTGACCCTGACAAGCGGGTACAACGAGGCATATAGCATTTCATATGTTTGAATTCTATTTGTTAATTCATTATAAAATTATACTCCTATAAGATTTTTTTAATGTTATATACATGTGTACTTCTAAATGCTTATATTGTAAACTATTTATGGTATGTACCAAATAAATGGTTTTCTTTCTTTCTATTTCTTCTATGAATACCCATTCTCCACATTTGACTATCTTAGAATATGTAACATAAATATAAATAATATTAGATGGGATAGTCAGTGGCATTGTCTACTGCCGCTGTTGTGGTGAACACAACAGCTGACATGCTTATTCTTTGATAGGTATATTTGATTCCAAAATAGCAGACGGTTTGTCTAGCGATGTAAATAATCATTATCAGAATAAACTTAATATTAAGAAGTGGGTGAAATTAAAGATTATACAGATGAAGTCCAGGTAATCAGGTTCAATTTCAGATGGACCTTCACGCGATTCCCCCTGGAAACCATTATGATAAATTACGAATCAATTTGCCAATATGTGCTAACTGAGCACATTTGAATAGTCAGATTTTTTATTGTACCACTCATTCAGAATGCAAACTCATCACAAGAAGAACGAGCAAGAAGCTTGCGAGTTTTTCTTAGTAATAACTATATATTGCAATTTCAGTTCATGACAAAACCTTTACTTTAATTGAGAAACGTACAATAGGTACGGTATGAGCCCATTACAATAAATAGCTGAATATGGATTTTGCCAACTCTAATTCAAACTTTATGTGATCATTTGAGTTTGATTTTAATGTGAAATTACTACGAAAGTTCCTACATTTTACAGTCGCAAATTCCCGTTTGCTATAGCCAAATTCAAATATTCTATGCAAATATTTGTTCTTTGTACCTATGTAAAATTAGTCAAATTGCTAAACTTCTTATAAGCTGTTTTGTTCAATAATTTTTGACGACTAAAATGAGTTTGTATTCAAATTCAGTGTAACATTAACGAAGTTTAGCTTGCCTAATTAAACTATATTATTTCTGATTATTAAAATTTTGATACACACAATTACAAATAATCACGGGATCTTACCACGTTATTTATTTTTATTGAGTTCCAGATATTTCGACAGTGTTTCAACTGCCATGATCACAGGTAACTTAAAATTTTGAAGTATATATAAGTGGTACAAAAAAGAGCCCTTATGTCTTTAAAACTGTTAAATCGATAAATCTTAATTTTAATAATATTATTATAAATGCGAGAATTTGTAAGTATGGATGTTTGTTACTCTTTCACGCAAAAACTACTGAACGGATTTTGATGAAACTTTACAGTAATAAAGCTTATGTCAGAATATCATATAGGCTATATTTTTTTTTTAATTTAACGAGGGT